AACACGGGGACTCTCAAACTCTGAAGAAAAAAACTCTCAATCTTGGAAAGTACTGTCCTCTGCACCACGCCTTGGCTTGCAGTTGCTGCTCCTGCAACACAGAAGCAGACTCCAGACAAGAGTGAGTGCGCAATAATCGCCTTGTACTCGTCCAAGCGGGCAGCATCCAACACCAAGAGCTCCATCTGCTTGGCCTTGAAAAAAAACATTTGTAGGACTCGAAACACAGGCGATCCTGACTGGCCTTGATCTCCTCCAGCTGCGCCTGTCCAAACTTGGAGTCTAATCATTGTAAATTGTTGAAGAAGCGCCTGCGCATGGAAGTCCTCCATTTCTTCCTGCAAGCGCTTCTCAGACGAGGCCTGCCGAGCAAACGCTGCCAATGCAATCTATTACCTACCATTGTTTGCCTCGCCCATCAACCAAGCCATATTCTTCGCCTAGTGAACAAAACCAGCATCACGCACCGTGAGACCAAATCGTGTTCGCCTCCAGCTGGAGGCGCTCCACAGTCGCCACCTCACAAAAGAAACACGCTGTGATAAGCGATGCGTATTGCTTGAAACTCTCAAAACTCTCAAACCTCTCAATATTGCTTAAAACACTCAAAACTCTCAAACCTCTCAATATTGCTTGAAACTCTCAAAACTCTCAAACCTCTCAATATTGCTTAAAACTCTCAAAACTCTCAAACCTCTCAATATTGCTTGAAACTCTCAAAACTCTCAAACCTCTCAATATTGCTTGAAACTCTCAAAACTCTCAAACCTCTCAATATTGCTTGAAACTCTCAAAACTCTCAAACCTCTCAATATTGATTGAAACTCTCAAAACTCTCAAACCTCTCAATATTGCTTGAAACTCTCAAAACTCTTGTCTCAAAACTCTTAAAACTCTGAAAACCTTGCCTCGGCCCGAAGCTCTGAGGATTGCTGCTCCACCTGCGGTTCAAGCAAAATTCGAACAATATGATTTCAACGCGGATGGCCTTGGCCTGAAGTGCTCGCTCACGAACCCCCATCTCCTGGAGCGCAGCCTGCAGCTCCACGACCAGGCTCTCCTGACAATATACAAAGCAAGCCCCTTCTATGCAATTGACGAACCACGCTCCTGGGCCAAGGCGGCCTGGTCTCCCTGGGAGGCAGCGGCGTGGACCAGGGGCTTGTCGCGACCCACATTCAGGCCCGCACCACATGCTGCTACCCGAAAGGCTGCAGCATCTGGTGCGGCCCGAAAGTAGGCCCTGGCCCACCCGCCGCCCTCCCAGTTCTGCTCCTGGATCCCCACAAAACCTGGCCAGCCGCCCGCAAAGGCTTCCACCTCTGGCCAGGTTTGTGGGGATCCACGCTTGCCCATCCACACAGCGTGTGGCGTCAGCGACATCGCTGCAACGCGATGCCGAGGCGTGCTCCTGCTTGTGCTGCTTGTGCTGCTGCTACTGCTGCTACTGTTGCTACTGCTGCTGCTGCTGCTAATGCATGCTCCTGCTGCCGCATGCTCCTGCTGCCGCATGCTCCTGCTGCCGCATGCTGCTGCTACTGCTACTTCTACGTGTTCTGCTGAAGCTAGTGCATAGCATGCTCCCTAGTCACTGCGAACTACCCGGCTGGTACGAAGCGGGCGCGGCTGATATGATAAAACAACGACTCCAAACATGATACTCCGGCCAACCACATGTTTGCAAGACACAAGCCACTTGAGAGTTTTGGTTTAGTTGATTGCGAGAGTTTATCAATTTTTTTTTCTGAATGTATTCAACATTTTCTGAATATATTCAGAAGTTTCTGAATTTATTCAGAATTTTCCTGAACTCAGTAAAAGGAAACAAGTACTGGGAAAGCCTCAAATTCAGAATTTTTCTGAATTTATTCAGAATTTTCTGAATTTATTCAGAATTTTTCTGAACTCAGTAAAGGAAACAAGTACTGGGCAAGCCTCAAGTTCAGAATTTTTCTGAATTTATTCAGAATTTTCTGAATTTATTCAGAATTTTTCTGAACTCAGTAAAAGGAAACAAGTACTGGGCAAGCCTCAAATTCAGAATTTTTCTGAATTTATTCAGAATTTTCTGAATTTATTCAGAATTTTTCTGAACTCAGTAAAAGGAAACAAGTACTGGGCAAGCCTCAAATTCAGAATTTTTCTGAATTTATTCAGAATTTTCTGAATTTATTCAGAATTTTTCTGAACTCAGTAAAGGAAACAAGTACTGGGCAAGCCTCAAATTCAGAATTTTTCTGAATTTATTCAGAATTTTCTGAATTTATTCAGAATTTTTCTGAACTCAGTAAAGGAAACAAGTACTGGACAAGCCTCAAATTCAGAATTTTCTGAATTTATTCAGAATTTTCTGAATAAATTCAGAATTTTCTGAATTTATTAGTAAATCAAGCTCGCACCACTCTCGATGTCATGCAACTGTTTCTGATGAATTTGAATATTGAACAACTTTCTTGCTTGCAGATTCACTGAAACTCGAGTCACACACCATGCAAATGTTTCTTGAGAGTTTGGAGAGTTTTAAGAATTAACGAACTTGACTGACCAGCTTATTGACTTGCAGATTCATCGACGATGCGCGCGGCTCAGATTTGAATTTCGCTCTTGGGGTATCCCTTCCTGGCAAGGCTATGGATCGTACAATTCCGTTGTCTGATGGGACAGTGGATGGGTATAGCCCTCAGTGGCAGAGGCTGATATGGATCAAGATCATCGAGATGGAGAATGCCCTTCGATCAGCTGATTGCAAAATCAAGAAGTTGGAGAAAAAGGTGAAGGTGTTGGTCTACAAGCTGAAAAAGAAGAAGAGGCGTTTGAGAGGTGCTAGGCTTGCGCTAGTATGAGCCAGCTTCGATCCAAAAATATTGCATGCGCTTACTTGAGAGTTTCATTGCTGATTTGAGAGTTTAATTGCTTTGCTTACTTGAGAGTTTCGTTGTTGATTTGAGAGTTTTGTTGCTGACTTGAGAGTTTATAGAGAGTTTGTGAACCTCTCAAGTTTTGTGGCATTGACTCACTCAAACAAGCTCTCAATCAAACTCTCAAACCGACTCTCAAAAAAAAACTCTCAATATTCTCAAGGAAAAGGCAAGCCACTTCTTTCAACATTCCAATTCGTCCGGAAATCACGCTGCTCACCTGGCTGCTTTCACCAAACAGCGCCCGGCTGGCCTCCAGAATCATCGACTCGACACTCGACGGGTTCCAAAACAAAGGAGCGCCTTCTCCAAGGCCAGAAGTCACCACAGCTGGCCTCCAAGCTCATCAACACTCAAAGTGTATCAAAACCAAAGGGCACCTTCTCCAAGGCCAGGAACAGAGCTGGCCTCGTGGATCATCAATGCTCAAAGTGCTTCAAAACCAAAAAAAAAGGCGCCTCCAAGGCCAGAAATCACCACAGCTGGCCTCCAAGCTCATCAACACTCAAAGTGTTGTATGACAACAAATGCACCTTCTCCTGACGGCCCCAATTCACCACATAGCTGGCCTGCAGAATCATCAACAATCAAATGGCTTCAACGCAAAAGTGCACCTTATCCAAGGCCACAAATCACCATATAGCCAGCCTCCAGAAACATCAATGCCCAACGTGTTTCTGAAAAAATGCGCCTTCACCAAGGCGCTCAGCCACCATATATCCAGCCTCCAGCAATATCAATGCTCAAAGTATTCCAAAACAAAAGTGCACCTTTTTCAAGGCCACTTCACCACATAGCCGGCCAGGCTCCAATTCACCACATATGCGGCCTGCAGAACAATCAATACTCAAGGCGTCTCAAAACACAGGCGCACCTACTCCAAGGCCCCGATCCACCAAATATCCGGCCTCCAGAACAATCAATACTCAAGGAGTTTCAAAACACAGGCGCACCTACTCCAAGGCCCCGATCCACCACATATCCGGCCTCCACAACACTCAATACTCAAAGGCGCGTTGCAAAACACAGGCGCACCTAGTCCAAGGCCGCGCGGGCCGCACTCATCTTCGCGTACGCGACCTCCAAGCGCTCCTGCGATCAACATCTGTCTGAGCCAGATCCCAAGTCTCAAACTCTCAGCAAATACTGTCAAGGAAGCTCTCCACAAACATCCCTGCAACTCTCAAGGAAACTCTCCAAAAACATCCCTGCAACTCTCAAGGAAACTCTCCAAAAACATCCCTGCAACTCTCAAGGAAAAGGAAACTCTCCAAAAACATCCCTGCAACTCTCAAGGAAACTCTCCAAAAACATCCCTGCAACTCTCAAGGAACTCTCAAGGAAACTCTCCAAAAACATCCCTGCAACTCTCAAGGAAACTCTCCAAAAACATCCCTGCAACTCTCAAGGAAACTCTCCAAAAACATCCCTGCAACTCTCAAGGAAACTCTCCAAAAACATCCCTGCAACTCTCAAGGAAACTCTCCAAAAACATCCAAAAACTGCAACTCTCAAGGGAAGTCTCCAAAACATCCTTGCAACTCTCAAGGAAACTTTCCAAAAACATCCCTGCAACTCTCAAGGAAACTCTCCAAAAACATCCATGCAACTCTCAAGGAAACTCTCCAAAAACATCCATGCAACTCTCAAGGAAACTCTCCACAAACATCCATGCAACTCTCCAGGAAACTCTGCACAGACATCCCTGCAACTCTCAAGGAAACTCTGCACAGAACATCCCTGCAACTCTCAAGGAAACTCTCCAAAAACATCCATGCAACTCTCCAGTCAAGGAAACTCTCCACAAACATCCATGCAACTCTCCAGGAAACTCTGCACAGACATCCCTGCAACTCTCAAGGAAGCTCTCCACAAACATCCTTGCAGCTCTCAAGCAAACTCTCAAGGAAGCCGTCATACCCATGCAGTTTGTTTTCAAATCTTCGGTCAATATATGATATCACTCGGCTTTGCGTCAGAGAGACCTGTGGCCAATGTCAAAAGTGAACTCTCAAATCTCAAAACTTGCAACACGGCATGACAACAAGAGGCCCAATCCCTCAAGCCGAAACAAACAGCTACCTATCCGATCGAGGCTTCAGCCCTCTCACCAATGCCAGCGGCACCATCGTTGAGCTCCTCAGGAACTGTCTCCGGAATCACGTCGTCGGCGAAATCCTTCGGCGCCAGCCTGGACTTCGACTTCGCCTTCTTCTGGTTCAGCGCGCGGGCAGCCTTGACCTTCGCCAAGACATCGTCCAATGCCTGCAGGGATGTCTCTCCCTCATGGATCAGCTTGCTGGTGGTCGCGACATACTCTTCCGTCTGCTGGATTGAGATCACTGCGCATTCAAGGCTCTGCAAGCCCGCTTGGGCGTTCGTCAGCGCATCCGTAATCTCCGCGCGGTCGGGGATCGGCAGGAGCTGCCGGAGCTTTTGGCCTGCAGCCATCGCCTTCGACATCTGCTTCACCAGGCTTGCGCCTTCCTTCTCGATCTTTTTAGAAGCAGCGGTCCAGCTCACGTCAACTTGATCCGAAGAGCTTCCAACGCCGGACCTCTCGGTCACCGTGATCGCATCTGTGCGCTCAGTGGCCAGCTCCTACAAAAAAAAATGCAAGCAGCGTCTCAAATCTGTGAAGCTCACAAAACTCTCAAACCTTCAAAAGCTCTCTCCCACACAAAAATATTCATCAAAGTTCTGCCTCAAAAGAAAACTCTCAACAGTCCTCACGCCCACGAACGTACTTGTACTGCTTTATCCCACGACGGGCCCATTCCGAGTTCTCGTGGTCGCGCTCTTCCAGCGTCTTCAGCAGGGCGTCCACCAACTCTTTCTCCTCCGGCTTCTCCAAGCTCAGGCTCTGCTCGTTGGCGATCTGCTTCTTAGTCAGCCACTCCTTGGTGCTCAGGTCAGTTTCCTTTTCGGAGACAACGCTCTGCTTTGTGACTTCTCCACTCCACCGAAGCTTTGGATCCTTCAGGAACTTCGCCAGGCACGCCCTCTTCTCGTCCGGGTTGGCGCTCTTCCAGTGGCTGTCCAGCTTTGCGACATCCGTGTCGCCCTGGCTTTTCCTGTACTGGATAGCTGCTCGAAATTTTTTCAGCACCGCAGCGTCCATGGCCTGCTCGTTGCGCGCCCTGCGCTTAGCGAGCGGCGCATGCATCTTCTCCTCGGGCTCGCCTCCTGCAGCGCTTGGGCTCGGCGCCGTCGCGGGCGGCTCAAGGTCAAGTGCAGCAGCTTTCTTCTCCTCCAAGTCTTCGCCGGCCTTCCTCAAGGGCGAAGCAACGCTCTTGGCGGCCGACTTCTTCTTGGCTTTGGGTTTCGGCTGCGACTTCACCTCCTTGGGAGAAGGAGAAGGCTTATTCGACTTTCTTGGCATCGGAAGGCTATCCGGTGCAAGGCCAAGTGCTAAGCGCAGGCTCTTGAGACACGCAGTAAGAAATCCATATGACACGCAAAGGCTTCTATTAAGACGAACCATGATGCAAGACGCTCCAAGCTCTCAAAACGATTCTTTTCAACTTGTTTCATGCGCCCCAGATACAGCTTCCACGAATTGAACGACAAAGCAGTGCCCTGAGCACTTCACTGCAGAAAGTGTTTATAGAACACAGTCTGGAAAAGTAAGAAGTTTAATTCTCCAACAAAAATCCACGGGTCTTCCAACAGCTTGCTGTACATCCCGGCCGTCCACGGCATTTGCCACATCCTCCTGCGTAGCGGGCTTGCAGTTCCCGGGGCAGAGCGTTTCTCCTGCAGCGGGTGAGCTGCTTTGCTTTCGCTGTGGCTTTGGCCTTGGGAGCATTCTTTGCTTTCGGGGTAGGCTTCGCTTTCGGGGTAGGCTGTGCTTTCGGGGCAGGCTGTGCCTTTGCCTTTGCCTTCGCCTTGGGCGTTGGCGCGGCAGAGGACTTTTCTTCCTTCAGCGCGGCAGCTGCTGCCAGGATTGGGTTAGCGTTGGGCGTCTCGTTGCGGCTCGAGCTGCTGGCCTCCCGACTGAAGGGCAGAAGCTTCTCATCAGTGCTCTGGGTAGTTTCCGGGGATGTGGAAGATGCCGAGATAGGGTCCTCCTGCTCGCGCGAGCTTGTCAGGCTTAGCATGGACGCCGCTGCGCGTAGTTTTTTTGGCTCCGGCTCGTCCTCGTGCTCGTGATAACGATCCATGATCGCCGGCAGCGATCTCAGCTTGTTGTACCGGATCTCCAAAGGCTGCGGTCGTAGGTGCGCAACCAAAGCATGCAAGAGATCCTCGTTCGACGTCTTCTGCTCCGCTTTGATCTTGGTGACGGCAATCTCCTTCTTAGTGTTCCTGCGTGCGAACAAAAAATGCAAATGCATCTTGTGTAAAACCAAATCACAACCCGAAGCATTCGAGAGCTGTCCTCATAGGAATGCTCGCAGCAAACGAAGAAATCTGCACGTAGCTCCACAGTTGGTCATGTTCCAAGACACGAGAAGAGCTTCCGGCCCTGTCCAAAAGAGCAGGGTCAAGGCGGGCAGGATCAGAGGGCAACAAGGTTGGAAATTTCGAGTTCTCACTGGACATCTCCGAGTACTTTGCCGTGCACACGCTGCGCAGGATCTCCTTGTGCGTCAAGAACGCGTCAAATTTTTCCTGGACACTCATGAGGAGAGGCTCCTTCTTGGAAGCTAGGAGGCAAACGGCTGTGAAGGATCTGCTGGTTGGCTCACTGGGCGAGCACAAGCCAAGACGTGCCAAGCAGTCTGCAAGCTGGAGCGCCTTCTCCGAGCCACTGACTTCTTTTTTTCCAAGCGTGGACCACAAGTCAGCCGGGATGTACATGGGGAAGTGCACGTAATCCTGCAAGACGCGCCGCTTATGCAAGGGAGCTGCGACTGACGCCACGCTTGCCGTGCACTGCTCCAGCAATGAGAGCGTCTCTGTCTCTGAGAACACGGCTGTCGCTTTCAAAGCCTTCATCAGCTCTGTGGCATCTTTCAAAGACAAATTTGAAGCCTTCACTGCGTAGGACACGCGCTGAAACTGCTGCATCCTGGCCTTTGTGAAATCTTCTGGCCCTAGCGCCTGCTGCGCTTGCAGCAAGTACTCGGCAGTTTCTGCCCACAGCTCGCGGAGGCACGACATGCTGGCAGTGGCCTTTCTTCTTGGGCTTGCTCGGCTACCAGAACAAGACTCTCAGCTCTCAAAACCATGACGGTTCTCAAAACCTGAAACCTTTCATAAACTCTCAAGTCTTTCAATGTTCTCTCAGAACTCTCAAAACTTTTCAACTCTCAAGACATTCCAAATTCTGACAAACTCTCAAACCTTGAAAACTCTCAGAACCCGAACCCCCTCAGAACTCTCAAAGCTCTTAAACTCTCAAGACCACGAAAACTCTCGCATGAACTCTCACCCCTCTGAATTCTGAAGCTCTCAATGCGTTCAAGGTTCTGATCGTAAGCTCTCACGACGTTCCAGGTTCTTATCAAACTCTCAAACCCTGAAAACTCTCATAAACTCTCAAGCCTGCAAAACTCTCATGAGCTCTCAAACCCTCAAAACTCTCCAAGCAAAACCCGCGTGATGAGACAAAGGATCCTTTCATTTGAGCCGCTTTTTCGCACTGTCGCCAAACAACGACGTAAGCCCGCTATAGCACCATGATGCCTTAAACTCTCGACAATTCGCTCACAAAATCACAGCCGAGGCCAACGCCGGCTGCGCCTACTTTGCACACAACTCTCATCAGGTTGCTACGAAAAAATGCGACATGCAAAGCACAGTATACGTGGCTATCAACAAAAACCGACTTGAAAAAAAACACGAAAAAGATACAAAAAGTTAGCAAAACTTATCAAGAGTTACACACACTTAACATGACTTAAAAATCCACTATCTAGACTTATATCTAGATGCGAAAACTTAATAAAAACTTACCATAACTTAAAAAAAATAGCAAGTTCAATAAACGATTATATGTCCCCGCAAGTGTTGGAAATGACTATGCCCGAGTTGACCTAGTTGCCGAGCACTTGCCGAGCGCTTACCGCCCAGTTGCCGCCTACTTGCTAACTGCTATAACTTGTCGGCAATCGCCGCGGCTGGTCTTAGTGGGCTGTACATCTTCTACAAATTGTGGAGTGCGGCAAAGATCCTCGACGTCACCAAGGAAGAAATGAAGCTATTGGTCAGCGAACGCAAACATCCAGTGGGAGACATTGTTTACAGGTGCTTCTCTCTGGCATTCAACTGCAAGTACATATCTTTCGCGAGGACCGGGCTAAACCTTGGTAAACATGGGTATGAGGTTGACGTGAGCGCTATTATTGCAGCTACGCATCCGGGCAAGTGTGACGGACCTCTGCTTCACTGGTGCGTCCGGAAAGGACATTGGCTTGCGGACGAGCACTACAAGAAGTACGTCCGAGCCCGGGACGCCCAACACAACTTGGACGAAGAATTCCGTCGACGTATCACTAGGCTGGCCATTGTGGACCGACCTGTGTGATGCAGAAGTGGATCATCGTTGTTTATGCGGCATTGTGCGGGCCAGTCCCCATCCATCGCCAGCAACATGTTGATTTCACTACGATGGAATAAATTGCGATGTGAAGTGACTTCGTTTGTCCAAGGAACATGCCTATGTATATATCTACATATTCCGACGACTATGCCATCCCGGATATTCATGGATGGACACTATTACCTTATGGATGATTTCATTTCCTTATATTATTCGTGGTATCTGGGATGGCGATTTTTTGCACACATTGTTCGCCAAATTTCTTTGCCGGTGATATACAGATGGCTTATGGCCATGCGCTGTTGTGAAGTTCTTTGGCCAACCCATTTCGGTGGATGACAGCTGCGTGATGCGCAAATACGGCAGCTGGGATCTTCAACGACTGCGTTGTGGTACGAGGCATAATGCCTCATGTCTCTGTGTATAGGAGCGTACTGTGGTCTGCGGATGCACGAGTTTTGATTTAATCGCACCCGGCTGAGTTTCACAAAGAATAGATGGCGGTACAATTGTGAATGAAAGAGTATTTCGACACAGTTTCGTAGTCCGAGCCGTGACCATTGGGACTTGTTGTGATGTTTGGACCGCATGATGAACAGTGCGACCCAAATGGGGGATGTTAAAACCCTCCTGGCCCCGTGCCTAAATTGGGAAGTTCTGAGGTCCATGTTCTCTTTGGTTGAAGTGTTCCAATGGATGCCACCTTTGGCTCAAGACTCAAGTAGGGCTTCTGGTCTTGCATGGACTTGCATTTACCTGTGTTCGATCCGAGTGAGAGGAAACAGGTGCGATCGCGCTGCTGATCTCGAACGTGTGTGGTTATTGAAGAACACCCTTACAACATTTTACACTGGTTTGGCTGTATCGGTTTAGCCGTATATCTTCACCACGTGATTGAGTACATTCAGCTGGAAGCTTGGTGGACAGCGCCCCACAGGACGTCATCTTGCGCTCTTGACATTGTCGTTGGTGTTGGTGTTGGTGTTGGTGTTGGTGTTGGTGTTGGTGTTGGTGCTGCTGCTGCTGCTGCTGTTGCTGCTGCTGCTGCTGCTGCTGCTGTTGCTGTTGCTGTTGCTGTTGCTGTTGTTGTTGTTGTTGTTGTTGTTGTTGTTGCTGTTGTTGTTGTTGTTCTTGTTGTTGTTGTTGTTGTTGTTGTTGTTGTTGTTGTTGTTGTTGTTGCTGCTTATCCTGGTGTTGGTGTTGGTGTTGGTGTTGGTGTTGGTGTTGGTGTGGGTGTGGGTGTGGGTGTTGGTGTTGTTGTTCTCGAAGCGAAGCCTTTGTCGACGCGCTGTCTACAGTAATTGCCGGCCGGGGCAACATGATTGCCTGCGCAGTTACCGCGTTTCGCATTGGTGTTGCATGTCCTTGCGAGGGTTATGCGTGTCGTCCACTGGGCTTGATTCGGAATATTCTCGTCTCTGCGTCCTCATGTTTCGCAGGCCCCGAACCCTAGCGCGTTTCTCACGTATCGTACTATGCTTCAAGCCAAACTTGCAGAACACAAGGCCGGGATAGTTGGGCTGCGCCCTGTGCAAGGCAAGGAATAAAATTCATTTACCCTGCGTTGCCAACGGATGTATTTATCTAGCTCAAACGGTGGGCCGGGAGGAACACACTCAAAAGGTCCGCGAAGGCACTTGTGTGATATATTGTGCGCCGCAAAGACCCGCGAAGCATTTCGCGTAGCTTAGTAACATTGACACAGGCGAAGCCACTTTGCAAAGCCACTTTGTGGTGATAATTGGTTATGCGCTTTCATAACAATAGCATGCCGAAGGTTGACGCTTAGAGTCACTTTCAGAAGACTAAAGAGGGTCAGAGACAAAGTTAAAAGGGTGGATTAAACTTATTACCCCCTAGCCCAGAGGTGGGTGCACAAGAGTTTCCGCCCCCCGAGCTTGTCTCTATGTTTAAGCGTGTAAGTGTGCCCGCATCTACTTTGCAGCTTCAACATTTTTGCTTCAGGAAACAAATTGATAGAATGAATGTGCTCTGCAATAATGTATGAAAATATTTGCAATATATACATAAGCAATATATATGTATGTATGTAGTTGTATATATATACAACCTAGAGGCCAAAAGTTTTTGCCCCCCTAGCTTATCTCTATGTTTAAGCGTTTAAGCGTGCCCGCATCTACTTTGCAGTTTCAACGTTTTGCTTCAGGAAACAAATGACAGAATGAATGTGCCTTGCAATAATGTAGGAAATATTTGCAATATATACATAAGCAATATACATATATATATATATATGTAGTTGTATATACACACACATATAGATATATATACATATACACAATAATGTTTGCATTTTTGTACCTACCTGAAGTTCGTTTTGTTTTATTCCGTTTCATCTTATTATTCTGAATCTTCATGTGATATGTATATATATGTTTGTATGTCTGTATGTAGACAGGTATATATTAATATATATATATATATGTCCAAATCATTACAACCAAGAGCATGGTCTGGTTGCGAGCCACATACCGGTCACGCAGTGTTGACAGGTCGAATGACGGCAGTGCAGATCCTTGCGTTTGCATCTCGTGTCAACACGTCTGCGAAGCAGAGTGCGTTGCTTAATCTCTGCGATTGACGCGCAAACGCACGGCTTGTTTCGCTGCTGCGGAACATGTACTCCGCATCGCGTACTTTGAGGCACGCACGAGCATGTTGTTTCCATACTGCGACTGATACATCTCATATCAAGACCCCGTTCTTTTCGAGCCAGCCCGGCGCCGCGCATCATGGACTTTTGTTGGGAAGGAGGTCTTACGCCTTCAGGAAACGCATCGGGCAAGGGCAACTCTGGATGCTTCATTTATCGGGGGCCGCATGGCCCATGGATGCCCAGACCGTCAACATGATGACATGCGAAAAAAAGAAAGCCATTGGTGGTGGAAAGCCTTGTGGAGCGATAGGATTTAGAAACACGCGAACACCGACCGAAATAGAAATACAAAATATGTTCTTCTAAAAAAACCCAACGTAATCTCCCTAGCAATGTACAAAGCCTGAACCTCAAAAAAACAATACCCAGGTTTCCCTTTCAACCTTATGCCCATTGTTTTTCCGTGCGGATTGCTTTGTCGGCCTGCTAGCCGGTCACCTAGTTCAGACGCTCGGCCGGCCAGTCAGCCTGCAAGCTGGTTCGGTTTGTTTTCTGGCCGCTCAGCCGGCTGCCCATTTCAGTTCGCCGGTTAGTGAATACTTGACCGGTCGGCTTGCGGTTGACCGACTCGAGTTAGCCGGTTCCACTAGCCAATTGGCCAGTCAGCCGGTTAACTAGTTCGGCTGACCGCTCAGCTGGTTCCGGTTGGTTGGTTGGCCGGTTCGGTTGGCTAATGAACTGGTCTGGTCCTGCTCGGCAGGTTCGGTTAGCCGGTTTGCCGGTTTGGCAGGCTAGCTGGTTGGCCGGTTGCCCGGTTAACCTGTTAGCCGGTCGGTTGGCCGGTTCGGTTCGCCGGTTGCCGGTTTGCTGGATCGTTGGCAGGTTGACCAGTTGGCCGGTGGCCGATTCGGTTCGCCGGTTGGCCGGTTCGCCGGTTTGCCGGTTGCCGGTTTGACGGTTCGCCGGGCGGCCGGTTGCCGGTTCGCCAGTCAACCGGGTAACCGGGCGGCCGAACCGGCTAACCGGCCAACCGGCCAACCGGCCAACCGGCCAACCGGCCAACCGGCCAACCGGCAAACCGAACCGGCCAACCGGCTAACCGGCCAACCGGCCAACCGGCCAACCGGCCAACCGGCCAACCGGGAGGGGGGGGCGGGCGGTTCACCGGTCCGGTTTGCCGGTCGACGCCATACTCCAAGACTCGACCCAACTTCGTCCAACTGGTTTCAAAACTGCCTTTGGGCTCTTTGTTTCCCAATTTAGGTCCAGTGTTTGGCTTATGGAAGGGTGAGGCAAGCGTGGCACCTTGACAAAAGACAAGCGAGGGTCCTCAACCCTTGTCAATACTAAATTGTCAGTCTGCGCGATGGTTGTCAGTTTAGTATAATTTAGGGTAGTGGCAGCTTCTAGAATCTTCTAGCATGGGCACCGCTCCAAGAGAGAAGCAGAAGGTTGCGTTGCTGCGGCCAGTGCAGAGTAGCGTGTGCTCGGGGTCTAAGCAGGCGCCAAAGGGCTGTCAAGTCCCACGACTTCACAAAAGGAGAGCACGGCAAGGCTGTGTTGTGCTCATGTTGGGCAGGAACTTTCAGTAACCTTCGAAGAGGTACAGGCCTCTCACAGGGCCACGCCGCCACACCTCACCATAGTGTGTGCTGTTAGTCTCAGGTATGGGACACAAACCGTTGCTGATTCGATGGGCAATTCTCCTACTGACATGCTTGATGACAACATGGCTTACAGGGTTTGCCCAGCACATGCTTTATTCTGCTCAATTTGCTGGCCGCCCGGCTGCACGAGAGCGCTTGCACTTTGTAGCAACGTCACGTGTGTAAAGTCTTACCGCCATGCAGCCCCAGAGGAACGCAACCATGCAGTGATGCTGTGACTTCAAGGTACTACACCGCCTTCGACGCAGAGAAGTTCAGTGTTGGCAGCTCTCGCCTGCTTTCAAGGGTAGGTGTCGCGCCAGGAGAACAGCTGCACCATGCTAAGCCCAGCTTAATGCACGTAAGCCAGGCTTCGCGCCGGCAAAGCATGACCAGGAGATCGTGATTGCCTCAGTTTGCGCGCCTCTTGTGCTCTCAGTCCTCAGTTTGTCCTGCAAACATGTCAATGTTGCTTTCTTGATCTCACGCAGCAATCGTGTAAGTGATGACCAGGTCGTATGACGAGCTGAGCGTTGCTTTCGAAGCTTTAGGCAGCAAACAGTTTGCGCACCATGTGAGCTAGACCACAATGTCACATAGGACCTGGGACCCCAGAAGTTGTTCATTCACCTCACGGGCAGAAGCGTTCCTAGAGCTGTATTGCCGTTGCACAAAGTTGCACAGAGTCGAAGAAGCTTGCACGGGCGAAGCGAAAAGCAAGGCCAATTGCTTCCGCGAGGCTGGAGCTTGCCATGGTGTTTTGGGCAGTCAGCCTCGAAGGAAGCATCCCGCGCCATGGCGCATGCCCATCTCCACCCGGCTGCGGCGGATCCTCGCGCAGAGCGGACGGACGACCCAGTGGCGACTGTGCCTTCACCTTTGGGCGCAAAAGCCATGCGCCGTGGCAGCCGCCGCAGCCATCAGTGCTTGCGGTCGTGCGGCCCATTGGGACCAGAGCCTCGCGTTGTATGACCATTGGTGCGGGCCCCAGGGCCAAAGTGCGAGAGCATGCTTCTCGTTTTGTTATATGGGCTGGGGCGCAATGTCATGGAAAGCGCAAGGCTGCGGCATGATCAACCCTCAGATCCAGCGGTGCTAAACTCAACCTTGGCTGCCTGCGCGCATGCAGCACGGTGGGTGCTTGCGCTCACGTTGCTGGAAGAAGCAAAGCGACATCATCGGGCATTTGATTTGCTTGGTCTGAACTCAGCCCTTTGGCGAAATTGCAAAATCATTTGGTTAGCAAGTGCTGTCAGACTCTGCACAAGCCATGGGCCTGAGCTGAGCTCAGTCAAGGCTTTGAATGCCTGTGGCCGCGCTGCACGATGGGAAGTCTCTTTGGCCCTTCTCATGCAATTGCAAAAGCAGCGCTTGGCGGATGCGACATCAGCAGCTTTGACATCCATCCAAATGGCTGGGGAAAGAATGAGGACACTTTGGCCTAGACATTTGCGTGGGTTGCCCAGGTAAATTCAACCATCAGTGCTTGCGACAGGCTGGCACGGGAGCCACTTTCTGACCACCCAACCCAGCCAATTCAGGGACTGACCGACAACATGCCCTCGTTGCAACAGCATGCCTGTCAAAGCTCAGCTGGCAGGGCAGCTGTTTGGCAGCTTGCGCTGAGCCTGCTGTACACCCACCGGGCGGGGCTTTGCTGGTTGCGTCATGGCGTCAGACTGCACGAGACGTTAACACGTTGAGACGTTGACGGTGCATTCCAGGCAGACCTTGTTGGTGCTAGCGCAGCGCTCAGTGCCTGTGCCCGTGGTGCTGCTTGGGCATCAGCTTTGGCAGTGCTGCATGCTCACCGAGCTAACGTGCCGCGGCTGAACTCTCACAGAAATGGACAATGGTGTTTTCCGCGGCTGAAGGTTGAAAGTTGGAAAATGTTGGAAGGCTGTGACAACAGTCAGACAAGGGACTGTGGGGACTGTCGCCGCGCTAAGGCTGTCAGTTTTGGTGCAGCCATCACTGCGTGTGGCCGCAGCACACGCTGGCGCTTCGCGCCGAGGGCTTAGCTGGCGCTCCTTGCATCCCATTCAAGTCTGGCGAGTGGCGAGCATCAGGCTGCAGCTCTTGGGGGATGCCTTGAAGACAACTTCCCGGGCATCGTTGGCTTGTTTTAGTGCAGCAGCCGCTGGCCTGGACGGGATAGGCGAGCATGAATTGCCTTGGCTGCATTGGACCTTTTTCATCCCTGAAAACTGTGTGAGGTAAGCGCCTGCGAGCTGGGAGCTGCTTGGGAGGCCGCCCTGGTAGTGCTGTCCAAGGCTGCCAGGGCGCTTGGACTGCAATGTTTTCATCATGCTGTTTTGGTGTTGTTGTTGTTTTGTTTTTTTCCCGGGGAGGAAGTGGACATCACATATTTACTTTTCAAAATGTGAGGCAGCTCTAGCCAAGCACTTGCGCGAAGGATTGGCCTCTGGATCGAACCATCCTCAATGCCACCATCAGCAGCTGCGAGAAGGGCTGGCAGTGGGAGACACGGTAGATGTTGTGTGGGCTCCAACGTGCCCTTTGCCTTGTCACCGTTCTCACGCACGGTCACGCACGTATTGTAGAAGATTTGCTTGGCAATGTGTGACAGTATGGTAAGGATCGATGCCTTACGTTGCTTCACGCAACAGATGCTGTCACGTGCGGGGCTGCAGCAGAGGCGAGCTTGCAGGTTCAAGAGTTGCATGCCATGTGACATCTGCCTGAATGTAGGCTTGCGCATCAGCAATGCGCTGGGTTGAGGCCGGACCAATCCGCACCTGTTTAGGTGACGCGCGGTTTGGGGGACGAGACTCCGAGCCCAGGCCAGGTTGGCGCCGCGCTCAGGGATGTGCGCCTGAGGCCCTCTCCTTGGCTTCTCGCGTGGACAGCGTGGTTGCAACAGCAGCCGCAACAAGGGCCAGCTGCCGGCAAAGATTTGTCCAGGCGTTTTGGTGGTTTGTGCGGCTTTTGGTGGCATTTTTGGCCCCTACTTTTTAGATTTTTACAGACACTCAATTGCACCCCTGTTGAATCATCACTTTTTCGACCATCATGGGGGGGGGCTGCTGCCCGATCTGCTGGGATGTTGGTGGGCTAGTGTAAAATATCAAACTAGAGGACGATTGGCCCGAAAGCATTTTTCCACAGGCGCTCATCCAGCCGCGGAGGCACCTTTTTACATCGCTGCGGCGAGCGTGTCTGCGCGCGGCGATGCTCAGTGTGTATGGTCACATGAGAGCTCCATCTCATCATCCTACTTTCCTCTCGAACTGCGCCGCGCGATTTCTCACGAAAGTGGTCTGCGCATGCTGCGCACAAGTTGCTCTCTGCAAGCTGCTGCACGCTGCTGCACGCAAGTGCTCTGTGCAAGTTGCTCTGCGCAAGTGCTCTGAGCAAGTTGCTCTGCGCAAGTGCGCTGCGCCAGTTGCTCCGTGCAAGCGCTTTGCGCATGTGCTCTGTGCAAGTTGCTCTGCGCAAGTGCTCTGAGCAAGTTGCTCTGCGCAAGTGCTCTGCGCCAGTTGCTCCGTGCAAGCGCTTTGCGCGTGTGCTCTGTGCAAGTTGGTGTGTGCAAGTTGCTCTGCGCAAGTGCTTTGTGCAATTGCTCTGTGCAAGTTGCTCTGCGCAAGTTGCTCTGCGCAAGTGACTCTGCGCAAGTTGCTCTGCGCAAGTGCTGCCGGAGCTGTGGGAATGTACTTCGCGTACTATTTTTGTACTTAAAAGTTGCGATTTTCCAGCCGGAGCTGTGGGGGTGTGCTCCGCGTACTACGCTTGTACTTAAAAGTAGCGATTCTCCAGCCTGAGCTGCGGGAGCACACTCCGCATACTACGTTTGTACTTAAAAGTTGCGATTTTCCAGCCGGAGCTGCACACTCCGCGTACTACGTTTGTACTTAAAAGCTGCGATTTTCAAGCCGGAGCTGCCGCGGACCAGGGGGGAATCGAGCCCGCGACCGCGGGATTGCGAAAGCAGGCGCGCAAACCACGAGACAACTTCCAAAGGCCGTTTCGCGAGCAACAAAATTGCACGGCGCCACTGCGAGAGCGCTTCGACACGCACAATCTCCGCAGAGGGTTCGCCGAGACTAAGACAAATTCGCACGGCGCCACAACGAGAGCGCTTCGACGCGCACGATCTCCGCAGAGGGTCGCGCGCGGATCGCAGAAATTTAAAGTCCTCAGTTTTTGAACCTCGACCACGTGAATCTCCGCAGAGGGTCGCGCGCGGCCCGCAGAAATCTTAAAAAGTCCTCAGTCTTTGAACCTCGACCACGCGAATCTCCGCAGAGGGTCGCGCGCGCACCGCAGAAATCGTACAAAGTCTCCAGTTTTTTAAACTCGACCACGCGAATCTCCGCAGAGGGTCGCGCGCGCACCGCAGAAATCGTAAAAAGTCCCAGTTGTTTAACCTCGACCACGCGAATCTCCGCAGAGGGTCGCGCGCGCACCGCAGAAATCGTAAAAAGCCCGCAGTTTTTTGACCTCGACCACGCGAATCTCCGCAGAGGGTCGCAATCCCGAGCGACGATCAAACTCCCGCCCCGGCGCCTTAGAAACCTAAACTAACTTACATAGCTGCTTACGCCGAAGCTCTACGCAAGCTCTACCTAACCTTGGCTCTCCTGGCTCTGTGTCACTTGGCTCTGTGCCACTTGGCTCTATGCAACTTGGCTCTATGTAACTTGGCTCTATGTAACTTGCTCTATGTAACTTGGCTCTATGTAACTTGGCTCTATGTAACTTGGCTCTATGTAACTTGGCTCTATGTAACTTGGCTCTATGTAACTTGGCTCTATGTAACTTGGCTCTATGTAACTTGGCTCTATGTAACTTGGCTCTAACTTGGCTCTATGTAACTTGGCTCTATGTAACTTGGCTCTATGTAACTTGGCTCTATGTAACTTGGCTCTATGTAACTTGGCTCTATGTAACTTGGCTCTATGTAACTTTGGCTCTATGTAACTTGGCTCTATGTAACTTGGCTCTATGTAACTTGGCTCTGTGCAACTTGGCTCTGTGCAACTTGGCTCTGTGTAACTTGTCCAAGGGCTCCGCACGGAAGAACCCTTCGCGATGCTTTCGGGAATACATTTTGTGAGAAAATGCTGTAAAATACGGCATGCTGCTGGCTAAGACGAAAAACGAAAACAACTCCCCAAAATAACAAACAAAAATCCCAAAACTAGAGGACGATTGGCCCGAAAGTATTTTTCCACAGGTGCTCATCCAGCCGCGGAGACACCTTTTTACATCGCTGCGGCGAGCGTGTCTGCGCGCGGCGATGCTCAGTGTGTATGGTCACATGAGAGCTCCATCTCATCATCCTACTTTCCTCTCGAACTGCGCCGCGCGATTTCTCACGAAAGTGGTCTGCGCAAGCTGCATTGTTCCAGTCTGCTGCGCGCAAGTTGCTCTCTGCAAGCTGCTGCGCGCAAGTGCTCTGAGCAAGTTGCTCTGCGCCAGTTGCTCCGCGCAAGCGCTTTGCGCATGTGCTCTGCGCAAGTTGGTCTGTGCAAGTTGCTCTGCGCCTGCTCTGTGCAAGTTGATCTGCGCAAGGGCTCTGCGCCAGTTGCTCCGTGCAAGCGCTTTGCGCATGTGCTCTGTGCAGGTTGGTCTGTGCAAGTTGCTCTGCGCAAGTGCTTTGTACAATTGCTCTGTGCAAGTTGCTCTGCGCAAGTTGCTCTGCGCAAGTGACTCTGCGCAAGTTGCTCCGTGCAAGTGCTGCCGGAGCTGCGGGGGCGTGCTCCGCGTACTACGTTTGTACTTAAAAGTAGCGATTCTCCAGCCTGAGCTGCGGGAACACACTCCGCATACTACGTTTGTACTTAAAAGTTGCGATTTTCCAGCCGGAGCTGCACACTCCGCGTGCTACGTTTGTACTTAAAAGTTGCGATTTTCCAGCCCTGAGCTGCGGGAGCACGCTCCGCATACTACGTCTGTACTTTAAAATTGTGATTTTCCACCCGGAGCTGCAGGAGCACGCTCCGCGTACTACGTTTGTACTTAAAAGTTGCGATTTTCAAGCCGGAGCTGCGGGGGTGTGCTACGCGTACTACGTTTGTACTTAAAAGTTGCGATTTTCCTGCCTGAGCTGCGGGAGCACGCTCCGCACACTACGTCTGTACTTAAAAGTTACGATTTTCCAGCCGGAGCTGCAGGAGCACGCTCCGCATACTACGTTTGTACTTAAAAGCTGCGATTTTCAAGCCAGAGCTGCCGCGGACCAGGGGGGAATCGAACCCGCCGCGACCGTGGGATTGCGAAAGCAGGCGCGCAAACCACGAGACAACTTCCAAAGGCCGTTTCGCGAGCAAGAATATTGCACGGCGCCACAGCGAGAGCGCTTCGACACGCACAATCTCCGCAGAGGGTTCGCCGAGACTAAGACAAATTCGCACGGCGCCACAGCGAGAGCGCTTCGACGCGCACGATCTCCGCAGAGGGTCGCGCGCGCACCGCAGAAATCGTACAAAAGTCCTCAGTTTTTGAACCTCGACCACGCGAATCTCCGCAGAGGGTCGCGCGCGCGTGCTAAAAAACGTAAAAAGTCCGCCTCGAGTTTTTAATCCTCGACCACGCGAATCTCCGCAGAGGGTCGCGCGCGGCCAGCAGAAATCGTAAAAAGTCCCCAGTTTTTGAACCTCGACCACGCGAATCTCCGCAGAGGGTCGCGCGCGCACCGCAGAAATCGTAAAAAGTCCGCAGTTTTTGAACCTCGACCACGCGAATCTCCGCAGAGGGTCGCGCGGGCATGCTAAAAATTGTAAAAGGTACCCAGTTTTTGAACCTCGACCACGCGAATCTCCGCAGAGGGTCGCAATCCCGAGCGACGATCAAACTCCCGCCCCGGCGCCTTAGAAAGCTAAACTAACTTACATGGCTGCTAACGCCGAAGCTCTAAGCTCTACCTAACCTTGGCTCTATGTAACTTGGCTCTATGTAACTTGGCTCTATGTAACTTGGCTCTATGTAACTTGGCTCTATGTAACTTGGCTCTATGTAACTTGTCCAAGGTCTCCGCACGGAAGAACCCTTCGCGATGCTTTCGGGAATAAATCTGCACCCTTTGTCCTGCAAGTCAGGCTTGCTTCAGTAAACCCAATCATTCATCTCAACTTGTGCCTGTGCTTGTGGCTGCACGGGGGGGGGCAAGGAGCTGCAAGCTGAGGCCAAAGAGGATGCCCAGCACGCAGTGCATAGAAGGCCACCGGTGCCCAGCTCCGCTTTGATGTTGAGGGCCTATGACCTCATGCCATCTCATGCCTGTCAGAATGCAGTTGGAGGTCCGGCGCGATCGGTCGCCGTGCAGAGAAACCACATATTGTCAAGGGGCTCAAGGCTCGTTTCCTAAGCTTGAGGGGCTTGAAGCCATGTGGCGCACTTCGCGACAGTGCGAGCCAGGAGCTGTTGCTTCAGCCATGCCCAACACATCAACTGCAGGAGCGAGTGCTTTCGCCACAAGATATCAGGGCCTTTCGTGCCATGGTCAAGCCTTGCACTGGGGAAGTTGCTACATTTTCGATCCAAAACGTTTCATACCCAGTGCGCAAGGAGACGGTGGGCTTGGAGGCCCACGTGGCCCGCATTGCCCTGGAAAACATGGCCATCGACGCATTGGCGGAGCCAAGGAGGCATAGCGAGAGAGTGCGAGGTTAAGACAGCTGTTGAATTTGTGGGGCTCAGGCTCGAAGTTGCTCTTGACACTATACTGCTTCCAGAGCCGGCAAGGAATCATTTGGTTGCATTTTGGCAGAAATGGCTCACATGATGTTCAAAGTGGTCCTATGAGTGCAGCAGAAACTGCTACTTGTCAAAGAGTTCCGGCCACATTGCGCTGAGGTTGCGATTTCTGTTCAGCTGAACAGGTCTTTGGATTCAAGCTGGCAGCTAAGCGAGCCAGCAAGCAACTACGCCTGGTGGTTCCGACCATATTCAGAGAAATGGCTTTGCCGAGACCTGTCAGTGGCACCATGTGTTTTGGCTCTGCGTTCTGCCACTTTGCCTGTCAAGTCTCTGGAACATGGCCAGAAGCAAGTCTCTGTCAAGTCTCTCAGCAATCAAGGCATCATCTTGAATAGTTTCCGGGCACGCAACTTGCTTGGCCTTGTGTTGCAGGGTGCGAATGCAGCCTGCTCGTATTAAATAGCAACACATACCTATAGGCAACAGCAGGAGGTCGCAGCAAACCGATTGAAGCAGGATCAGCCCTCAATACGAGATGTGTTTGCATCATGCCGGGCTCGACTGCAAGATCTGCTCGCGTGCCAGGGCCCAAGCTTCAATCCACGATGCGCTCGGCGACATGTTGCCAAGTTTCTTGGTAGACAATGTGATGCGCTCTGAACGCCGAGGCTGCAGAAAAGCCAGGGCGCAATGAAGCTGTTTGCCGCCTTAGACTTGCTTCGGCCTTGGATTGCTTGGGGCCACAGGGTGAGTTGCTGCATTGCCTGCCGTCAAGCGATTGGCGGCACTCATGTGGCCGGCCTTCACCCTCGCCAACTGTAATCCGCTCTTGCACCATAAAGCCCTTGATAGAGATTGCGGCCGGCCGGCGGTTCCTGCAAGCACATTTGTACGCGCCCACTGTAGCTTCGACTTGACTGCAGGCCTCGTCACGCTGCAGGCATCCTTGAGTTAGGTCGAGGAACAGTTTGGGCTGGAGAGCCGTTTGCTCCATTCTGGTGATGCGGATGCACGTCTTTTGCGCGCGCTTCAATAACTGCGGACTCTGGCCCCACCTTCCCTGGCCTCAATTCCACTATAGACTCATCGCGACGTCCATCTCACTCAGTATTTTTTTGGCTTACGGTGGTGGGGCTCGTGTTTTTCTTTAGTTCCCCAAACAGTTTACTGTCAGGGGTTCTAAATTCACTCGCCCACTGCCAAGCCATAGCCTGATGCCTGGCACGGCTCTCTGGGTGGACGGGTTCATTTGTCTGCCTTTGTCTCCCTTCATTTGCCTCCCGTTGTCGCCCAGCCTGGATGCCTGGCATGGCTCTTTGGGTGGGTTCATTTGTCTTTTCCTCCCGTTGTCTCCCAGCTCTTGGGTGGACGGGTTCATTTGTCTCCCTTTGTCTCCCTTCATTCGTCTCCCTTTGTCTCCCTTCATTTGTCTCCCGTTGTCTCCCAGCCTGGATGCCTGGCACGGCTCTCTGGGTGGACGGGTTCACTTGTCTCCGTTTGTCTCCCTTCATTGTCTCCCGTTCTCTCCCAGCCTGGATGCATGGCACGCCTGGGATTTGTCTCGTCTCCCTTCACTTGTCTCCCGTTGTCTCCCAGCCTGGATGCCTGGCACGGCTCTCTGGGTGGACGGGTTCACTTGTCTAGTGGCTATGACGTCAGCCTCACACGCTGAAGGTCGCCAGTTCGATCCTGGCCAGGTGTATGCATCTTGCGCTTCTGCTTTCGCAGTTGGACAACTGTGCGTAAGGAGCCAAAACAGTGCGTCGGTCACATCGATGCGTTCGCAGCTCCGCTGACTGGCGGGCGGCAAAGCGTGGAAAGGTGCTCTCAGATGGTCCGGAACCAGGGCTTGAGTCGGCTTGGGCCGCAAACCACAACACTCTCACACGGCAAGCGACAACAAAGGAGGCAAAGAAGGTCCCGCGCGGATTTGAACCGCGATCGCTGGATTCAGCGTCTAGAGTGCTAACCGTTACACCACGGACCAGCTGCCACCGTCTAGAAACCATGGCCCCCTTGCCTTTTGCAGATAGCCCAAAGCTGTGCCAGACACACGGAAGACAAATGAATTCGTCCACCGGAGACAAATGAACCAGAGCCGCGCCAGGCATCCAGACAAATGAAGGGAGACAAAGGAAGACAAATGAACCCGTCCACCTGGAGAGCCGTGCCAGGCATCTAGGCCGGGAGACAACGGGAGACAAATGAAGGGAAGCCGCGCAGGGAGACAACGGGAGACAAATGTTGGGAGACAAAGCGAGACAAATGAACCCGTCCACTCAGAGAGCCGTGCCAAGCATCCAGGCTGGGAGACAAGGGAAGACAAATGAAAGGACAAATGAACCCGTCCACGCAGAGAGCTGTGCCAGGCTTCCAGGCTGGGAGACAAGGGAGACAAATAAAGGGAGACAAAGGGAAACAAATGAATCAAAGAGCCGTGCCAAGAGAAATGAAGGGAGACAAAGGCCTTGCCTGGATGCCTGGCACGGCTCTGTGGGTGGACGGATTCATTTGTCTGATTCTGTGTTCTTGGTGTGTTCCAGCTGACCACAGCGGCGCGTTCCAAGTAAACACGTTGAGTGTGTTCCACGTGAGCACATGTTTGTGTTCCAGTTGAAAGCTTGCGACCGTTCTTGATAAACGCACATGCGCGCTCCGGTCAAAATTCTTAGTAAGGGAGCTTAGGCTACAGAGGCCGCCGTCGCAGTCACTTGGTGCAGTTTTTCATTCATACAAAGCGGAGTCCTGCAAATACCAGTGGATTGCCCGCTCCCCATTGGAAGCGCTAGGATGGCGCTTGATTTGCGCTAGGGTCTTCGGTGATCTTGTTTCCAAGAGTTGGCGCGTGGGTTGTTGCGATGGGCTTTGTGTGGCTTTCAAGGGTGTGGTGTTGCAGTTCTTGCTTAGTACTTGAAGCCAGCCCGCACGTTTACCTTCATCTTACGTGGTCTTAATTTGTCAAATCCACGGATGGTCACCGTGACTTCAACAAATGCAGCGAGGCTGCGCTAGCCGCGCACTAGCAAGGCGCTAGCACAGTGGTCAGCTGTGACCGGTTTCCAGTTACGCCTCAATGCAAATTCTCCTCGGATGAAATTACCATAGAATGCAATTTGCTGGACAAACGGGAGACAAAACGGCTGAGGCAAGAAGGAAGGGATGCCTTGCACCGAGCATACGGAAGAATAGGGTTGTGCATTTCCTGCGAAATCAAATGCTTTACTGAATCGATTGCGCATGGGAGGACATTACTGACCCTGGGGCCTCCAAAAACTGGTGCCTCTAAAACAAAATGGCTCGAACACCACCAGAATAATCACAACGCTTCCAAGAAACTGCGGCTTGCGGGCTTTGAGCGGCCACCAAGCCGAACGCTCGTCCCAGAAAAGGGTTGCATTTTTCTTCGGGGTTGGGGTCCACAATTGAAATATTTCAAGGGCTACCCCCCCCAACAAAGAAATCAATTGCAATTTTTGAGGTCCCCCACTCCCCCCCCCTCCTCAGGGACGGGGATTTTGACGACCTATTTGCCCCCCAGGCGTGCACATGTATGTGCTCCAGAAAATGCATGATTGCTTCTGAGGTGCGCACATGTGTGTGTGTGCGCGCTTGTAGGTGTGCATTTATGTTTGCTCACGCGTGCACATATGTGTGTTCTACGTGTGCACACATGTGTGCTTTAATCGCACACGCAGTGTTCCTGGACACATATTTGTGTTCCAGTGGTATACCTGTGTGTGTCCCAAATGTACACACATGTGCGCTTTAAATTTCACGTGTTTGTGTTCCAGTTGAACACACGTGTGTTCCAAGTGAACACATGTGTGTTCCACATGAACACATGTGCGTGTCGTAGGTGAACACACATTTTTCCAGGTGTACAAGAAGCACACGTTGGTTTTCCAGCTCAACACATGTATGCGTGTGCCGCAGGTAAATGTATATGTGTGTGCTCACGGGTGCACATTTGTGCGCGCCGCGTGTACTGTTTCAGTCGTATACATGCACCCCCTCCAAACCCAGCATTGGCTCCAGTTTCAGATCCTTTGTTAAAAGGGTACTCGGTATTTTATACCTGGATCTGAGACCAGCTTTGCTTCGGGGCATTGTGCTTTGGGGGATTTGGGGCCGTTGTTAGTGTTTCGTTTGTGCTTCGTTGCACTGATCTGTGTTTGGCTGTGCTCCGGGGTAGGGGGATTCTGTGACATAGATCTCTGCGCAGGCATGCTCTGGGGTTTCATGTTATGAGTTGAAAAGGTCGGCTCTGTCAAAATATGACGCAGCCAGGTCCCACTCCGGCACAAAGGGTAAACCGTGCCTGCGAGCCTGTGGGCCTGACGTTTGAGAGGCCCAGCCCCTGGAAGCGGCAAGGCAGGGGCCAGACAAATTGGCAATGGAAAGCATGGAAAAGGCTTCCAAAGCCCGACGGCGCACGCGCAGGTTGGTGCCTGTATCGGTGCCTGCCAGCACCAGCAGCGAAAGTTGCAGGGTTTGATTTCGACAAGCTACTTGACTTGAGTTAGACAAACGTGCCGGAGTGAGTCTGACCATGCCAAGGACTCTGCACTTTGGAGGCCAGAAAGGTTGTGTTAGGCGTTGCGGAGATTTTGCTCAGCAGGCACAGCCTGGAAGCTAAGCTCGGTGCATATCCCTGAGAAGCTGAAGCGGCAGGGCCGCGTTGAATTTCATTGCAGTATGTTGGACGCATTTGGACGCCATTGGGCCATGCATTGCCGGTGTTCAACTGCCAGGCTGCAGCAGGATGGGTACACGGCGGCGGGCTTGCAAAAAACTAATCGGGTTGCTTGTGCTTGATATTTGCGGCCAACAGGTGGTTATCTTTTCCAATCAGCACGGTCCCGGGCGACAACGCACGTTGGAGGGGTCTGCCGGCAATTGCAGTGCTTTCAGTTGGGTTTGGAGCCTCGTACTTCGGTTGCGGCGTAAGGATGCGGAAGGAAGTTGAGGATATCGTGCGGCGCTTCGAGGACTTCCGAGCCTTTTGCGGAATGGAGCTCCACATGTTCGTGGCAGTGGTTCTGGGCTCAGCTTCCATTGATTTCTCTCCAAAATGGACTCTTTTCCAGGCTCGGGGTGATATTGATGACCCTTTCCGCAAGCCAAACACAGGCCTCGGTCTTTGGTCTGATCCCTACCCCAAATGTCGCGGCTAGGCATGTGGGATCTCATGTCATCCCTATGCAGCTCGCCAGTGCCTGAGAAAAAGACATCGTTCCGTGGCGCAGTTCTTGTCAGCTGAACGGTCAATAAACGGTCCGCGCGGCTGCGTGCTCAGGCCGAAGGTAAGGCATAGCTTCTACGCCGCAGCCTGGGGGTCCTGCACAAACCGAACCATAGGATCCATAGACTGCTGCTTGAGGGAGGTCGTTCCAAGCGGTGGCTAAGACAGCCGATGATCAGGTGGGCAACTCTGCAGGGCGCTTGGGAGATGACAGCGCAGTGGACCGTGGCTTCGCGAAGCGCTTGGGCATGACATTCTACAGCGAGGACACCACAGCAGAAGCGATTGCCCCCTGAGCGGTTATTCAAAAAGGAAGTTCTGGGGGGAAGATACTTGACATGACGGCACTAGGTGTCATGTTGTTCAGGACTGGCTGAACGGATGAGGCCTCTTGTTGGTGGAAATGGAGTCCCTAACTCTTGAGAATTGCCATGCCAAAGCCGCTAGTGCCAGTTCTGGGCGTCGCTGGCACGCACCTTGACTGAGGTTGGCGGTAGCCAGTTGCTCCGCAATGCAAAATGTGATAAAATATGACATCAACATCATGACAGCTCCATGCGGTTCACAGTGATGTTGGACTGCTTCCGGCTGGTCCAAGCGTGCGTCGTTCCCCAACAGCATCAATAAAGAGAACATTCTGAGCACCAGCGCCATGAACTACACAAAGGAGCTAGAGCTGTCATCCGATGGGTTGGTTGACTGTTAGCTCTTCTCAAAAGCCGGCATGCTTGCTCAACAGCTTAATCCTTGCGCAGACCTTGCGCCAAAGCATAGTGAAGTCAGAGCTCGATCAAACTGAGTCGCCATGGATGATGTGTGCTGCCTGGGCATTCTTCGCCAACCTGGCGGCCTCTGAGGTTGGATTCATAACAGACGTGCAGCTGCTATTCCGCTGGCCTCAGGCAAGAACGCCCCTCACACGCGCGCTCCAGCTGCCTGCCAGACAAATGTTGCGTTTGACCCACACATCACACATCGAGTGGCCATGGGTGGCTTAATTATGTGGCTGGAGTGTTTGGTTACTGTCAGCAGCCAAGGTCAGTCTCTTCGGCCTACACGCATGATGGCTGCCTTTGCCGAGAGAGCTGGACCTATGAAGGCAGCGTTTGTGAGGAGTGGTGCTGCAATCCGGACGGCGATTCTGGCGGACCTTGGTGCTTCGTAGAAAATTCAACTTGTGAGGGTTACGTCTGGGGTTATTGTTCCGAAGTGACCAGCACGACCTCACGCACCACGGCAACCAGCACAAGTGGCACCAACACTACTTCCACCACTGCCACCATTACCTCCACTACCGTCACCTTCACTACCTCCGCTACTTCCACCACGACCATCGCAACCGCGACCAGCACCAGCACCAGAAGCGTCACCAGCAGCGTCACCGCCACAACAAGTTCCACAAGTGGCAGTAGCACAAGCATAAGCAGCACCGCCAGCGCCACAAGCACTACAGGAGCTACTAGCACTTTAAGTGCCACCGACACCATGGCCACTAGCACAAGTGTCAGCGCTAACGCAAGCATGAGCACCACTACTAGCACCACCTGTTTTGCCACCAGCACAAGCACAGGCACAAACAGAAGCGAAGTCACTACCGCTACTGCTACGACTTCGTTTTACATCAGCACTACCAGCACCAACAGCATCAGCACTACAACAAGAATCCTGGCAACATCCCCGCAGTCCATGTACACCGTGGGAGGCTGCCTTTGCAGGGAGTCCTGGAGCTACCTAGGAAAAGAGTGCACGAGCTCGTGCTGCAATCCTGACGATGACCCATTCGGAGAGTGGTGCATGGTGGAAGGCAGGGCGTGCTCCGGCAAGACGCGTGGCTATTGCTACCCCTCAGTGCCTTCTTTGACTCCGACTCTAACAAGCACACGCAGTGCTACCACTCCGGCAGATATTGCGACGGCAGCTTGACTTTGAAATTTAGTATCTTTTGGGGCAGGTCGCGTGTCCGTTCTCTTCAGGTGCCTCCACCAGAGGGCGCAGCGCCAGATGCAGGCATTCCTAGCCTGGCCGGTGCCTCAAGCCACTTGGCGTCTTCCAAGTCGGTAGTGGGCAAGTTCTGCTGAGGCCCTTGCTTCTTCCATTCTCTCTATCGCAGGGTGCTGTGGGTTTTGGATCATCTACTGCGTGGCGAGATGCTCAGACCAGTGCATCAGTACTGAACACAGACAGGCGAACACACATGTACTTGCTCCATGCCAGGTCAGCACATACAGGAAGGGCAAGCAGATCATGCCATCTGACTCCTATGAGGCAAGACGTTGGCATAGCAGTATGGTGCAGTCTCTATGGTGCAATATGTGGCTGCAAGCTGAGGCAGACTTTGTTGGAGTAGCTGTTCCTGTGTTGGCCCTGGAGTCCCGCAAGGGGACTATGGGACTCATGTTGCTCGAGCTGAGGCTGAGGCCTCCAAGCGAGCGCCCTAGATGTACTGTCCTCGCATTGCGCGCTGCCAGATCTGTCAGGGATGTGCCTGGGCACTCAGAAGTTCGAGGGTCACACCTGGCGCCAGTCTCAGAACCCATGCCAGGGAGTCCGTATTCAGCCCACCGATGTTCAGAGCTGCAGGCTAGTCCCAAGCATCTCAATTCTTTCGTAGCAATGTGGGCATTCACCTCGTTTGATTTGCCGTACAGCATCCCCCAAAGGCAGACGCAGCAGAAGTGGACGACGCCAAAGCCAAGCGCAGAGTCCGTCCTGCAAACGCCCAGTTCTCGGGACAGGCTCAGGGACGGCTGGAAGATGCATTCGACATCAATGTTCTTGATTGCTTTCATCGTACTCCTCCACGGATTGTTAAGTCATTTGAGTGTGGCTCAAAATTTAGGGGCTAGGGTTACGCAGGTTTTAGTCTTGGGTTCCATTTACCAAGGGGCCGTTTTAGTACATGTTTTTGAGCCACAGCCATTTGTTGCTGCCCTCTTCTTGCAGATTGTGTCTCGCTTCCAGCGCGCGTGGCAATCCTTACTACTAAGCGCTTGTTCTTGTCGGAGAGTACTTTCCCACGAGCGTCCTCGTCAAAATGCACAGCCAAGGCGTACCGCAATTGATTGCATACAACAGCGAAAATCTATGGCCTCCCGGCCTCCACATCCGAACGGCCAATGCCCCACGGATTTGCCAAATCACCACGTAGCGTTGGCTCCTGAAATGCACAGCCAGGGTGCCTAACGTAGCTTTCGAATCCATATCTAGGGATTGGCTCCTGGCCACGTCCATGGATTCCCGTAGTTGGCGAAAGCCGAAGTCCCTTTAAGTGGGGAACCTGGAAATTGGGGGGGAAAGCCCAAGTGGCTAACCGCTTGCTTGGCCGAACGAAAAAGTAGCCTCCCTAAGCGGCTTCCCCCTCTTTGAGTTGGCAGTCTGCAGCAAAAGGTTGACTAGCAAACGAAAGGGAGGGTTGACACAAGCAACACAAGTGTGCATGAGTGCGTGTTGGTTGTTGGCTTTGTCACTGGCTTGTTGTTGTTTGCGCGGTCCATTTCTTTGCATTGCCTATTTGTCCTCTCCTGGGTCCGGCTTGAGTCGGTGTTTGCTGTTCTGCGGCAGATGGATCGTTGCGCATTTGCAAGCATCCTGCTGGAGGTTCTGGCCGGCAGACCGCATTGCAGCGCCCAGCCTTCCAGCAGAAGCGAGGCAGACGACGCAGTCAGATTCTCATTGAATTTCCTGCGTTGGTTTCTTTATACGAAGTGATTTCACACGTTTGTCAGGGGAGGTTGAGCCCAAGGCCGGGCCAGCAAGTGTGCCTGACGTGTTCCTGGCAAGCTGGGAAGGTCAGAACGTGGTGGCGCCGTGCCAAGATTCGACAATGGAGGTAGACGTGACTGTTGCTTTGAGGTCGTTGAATTGTGTTTGAGATGGTGCATTTGGTGCAGTTGGTGCAGTTGCCTAATTCAGGCCAAACTGATGACCATGCAGACGCAGGCCCCATGCGGTTTTGCATGAGAATCCCGTGCTGCAGTGCCTTCCCTGTGTGAGATGTCCCAGTTCTTGATGCAGTAGGGTCACTGAGCGCAATCGGTGGGTCCGCTCTCTCGAGTTCTCCAGCTGTTGTGATTGTGCGCTAACCTCCACCTCAACATCGCTCACATGCTGTTGTAGACTTAGTGCGTAATCAGCATATGTGGTAACAGTAGATTGGGCCTCGATGCAGGTGAAGCGGCGCAGGCAGGGAGCTTCTAGTGAAGTGTTCAACGAGTGTCACGTGGTCTCGCCGAGGCGGAGACGGTGCGCCAGTCCGGGGCAGAACTTGCAGAAGGCGATGCAACAAGTTTGTTTGCGCAAAGGGTTTAGGGTGGTTCAGCCGAAGGCCATGTGCAGTTGTGCTTGCAAAGCGGGTGCGCGCAAGGTTGAGCGCCGCCTGATACGGGCGTGTCTCTTGGCCAGACGGAGTTCCAGAATTTATCCCTGTGCATTAAATGTACACGGGGGAGGGCTGCTGCCCTTGCTGCCAGAGGGCTTTTCCTGTTGCAGCGCAGAAACAACTTTCTGCGAACATGGCGGCAAAGAAAAGAGCGGTCATGCTTCAACGTCCATCCACCGGCGCAGTGTCGGACGATCACCACAGTCTGCCATTCGATAATCATGCATGCTGGCGAGACATGCAGTTGCTCGAAGGGCCGCTGCGCAAAAATCGGATCACTGGTGGGACTGTTCCCACATTCTTGCGTGGAGTTCTTGGCGTCATTGCCCGCCGGTCTCCTCCTCCTCCTCCTGCTCCTCCTCGTCCTCCTCCTCCTTCCACGCCCTCCTGTTCTTTCGATAGTATACTGTTGCGGGACATAGAAAGTGGGAGTGATGATAGACGGACGGCACCATGGACTAACAGACCCGGGCCGCGTTGCCAACAGTCCCTATCAAGTCCTTGACCTGCAGCGGATATACTGACGGAAATGCCGGGAACGAGGGCCAATCGCACAAGCAAAGTGCGGAGGGGCTCCGGCGCATCTGACAGAGAACGAATCTCGTAGCACAAGCAGCCTTCTCCACTCACTCTTGGCCTCCCGACTGAAACTACTTGACCTTGAGCTTGTCCAGGCTGCGGCGCGAGCAGGATGCTGAGCGCCGTTCGTGAAACCCGTGTCTTGGCAATATATTTATGGGTCTCCCTCCTCCCCAATGAACTACCATCTCGCAGCAGGGATGCCGCCACACCCGGAGTGAGATCCAGAAGAACCGTGGAATCTTCAAGAGAGGCCTCAAGCGGGGAGCTAAGCTTCGAGCAGAAAGGCCTTCAGACGGAGAAATCTCGCAGCGCAGCCTGTGAGAAAGATATCTCGCTCATGGACGCAGATTTCGAGCATTTTATGCAACAATAATACTAAGAAAATTAAAGATATTAGTAATCCTTGAGATTCCAAAGGCCCGATTTTAGCAGCCCTTACGGGATTAGACCCGCATAATGCAGGCCGACCCAAAAAGGTACGTGGAGATGCCTCTTTTGCAGCAGACACTTTTCACCGGAATCCAGCCGCATTGAAATCAAGGCCTGAAAGCAGCTGATCTCGTCAGTCATTCCGAACTTGATGGTTTTTGCCATGACGTTTCAACAGGGGGAACCTTTTTAATGTCGGGTCCGTGAGGGTTTCAGAGTCTGATTTCTCAAATATTCGGAAGATCACTGCCTTCTTGGCCGCATGTCTCGAACTAGCCGTTTCCATCGCAATCGCGCGGCCTTAAGCCGATACGAAGCCCTAAGGAGAAGCGAGTACTCAAATTTTGCAGGGTGCAAGTGGGTAACAAGTGACCTCAAAAGTCCCATAGCGTCTTCGTCCACGAAGCCGTGAACGAATCTTTGGTTGAAGCCTCAGAGGTCGAATACCGCCAGCTTTTTTTGTTTTCGGGAGGAGAATCTGACAATTTGCTCATCACGATAGCCCTGACTCAATGGACATTTAAAGGCTTTCGCAGAGCATCGCACGCAGCGCTAAAGTGCAGAAAAGAGACGCCATCTGCGTAGGCGAGCCATTTGCTCCACCCAAAGATGCAGCTTGGGCTTTATAAGCCACCATTTGCGAACCCGCCTCGCAGGGTCTAATAGCAACGCTGACAACTGGCAAAAATTTGGCCTTAGCCTCGCCTGACAGAAAGCCTTGCAAGCACAATGTGCATGCGCGCAAACTGCATGCCGAGGCGAGCCATCTCGTCAGCCACACTCCTAAGCAGCAACCCATCCAACGCAGTGCCAAACGGGGCCTGGTGTAGCCCAAAAAAAAAGATAAGATCAGGAGTCCAAAAACTCACTTAAAAATGTTCCATCAAAGTTTCTCAGGCAGAAACCGACCATGTCGCTGAGACAAGTGGAAGTATCGCGTGATGGAGTTCCTGAGCAAGCTTCATTTCAAATTCTAGCAGGCCCAAGCACGCGTGATGTTGGCGGTTTCGGCACATTGACCACACAAAGCAAAAATGCTGATGATGGGATAGGATGAGGATCAAAGCTAGCGCGGTTGGTGCCAAAAACTCAGCGTCATCTAGGCGTTTGCCCTGACTGTGAAGCCACTGCCCCAGAATCCGGCCCACAACCGGGAGTTGTTGTTCCCATATTGTCAAACAGCAGTGGGTCAAGTACTCGGTGATGATCTGAGAGTTGTGCCCCTTGGTCGTGCAGTAGGCCCCAGACTGCTTCTTGATGAGGAGGGCCGGCGTGAACTTTCTCTGAGAGTGTCTTATCCGGTTTTCTGTTGCCCAGATAAGAAAGTCGGAGTGAACGCGCTCCAAGAGCTCATGCAGCCCCAGCCGCGGATCCCCAAACATGCCAGCTTCCATCAAATAGCAAATTGTGGAGCCATTGCAAGTCCAGAGAAGCCCCAGGTTCAAACTGTGCAGCTGGCAGATCTGAATCATAGACACATCAAAGCACGGCAACAGAATCAAAGGACTGGGAGTGTCCGGCAGAACTTCAAGAAGAAACTCCCGCGTTGTGCGCCACTCCGGCATGCTCAAATCCGCGTACTCAGTTTTGCGAACCCGGCAAAAGTGACATATGTGGAGCCCGTTCCAATGCGTGCTGAAATTGAACAGCTGCCTCAAATACTTCCAATCGCCAGAAATTTCCGTGATCATGAAGCGAGCAGCCACCAAACGCATTGACCAAACGATTCTGGCCATCACCGGCTGAAGCGTCTCGTAGCCTGTTGAGGTCTGGAAATCAAATTCCTTTAAGAGGTGTTGAAACTTAAAAGTCAACTTGACAAAAAAAATAGGTAACCAGCCGTGCGTGAGAAGCCTCGCCTAAAAACAGCGAAGATCGAAGCGACCAGATCAGCCACCGACTTTGCCGCGCACAGCGAGGACGGAAGAGCGGGCATGAAATATAAACTGCATATATTTGCTCACCATTGCGCGCCCCATAACGAGCATCGTCCCCAAAGAGCTTGACCGGTAGCCGATCAACACCGTCTTGTACATTCCAAGCCCATGGCACACCCTGCGCCCTTGCCTCCTTCCAGTAATTGGCCACCGTAGCCTCATCGATTTTCAGGCCAGCTTGACCAAATACGTGTTCAAGCCTAAGATGGAAGCAAACAAATTTGAGGAGCGAACCCAACCAGAGTTGTTTGTGTGACCACTTGAAGTGCCATTTTCCTACATCGGCCTCAGAACTCAGAACTTAAATCAAACTGCAGAAAAGGCAGCCCCCTCTTTGGGCAAGACACACAAGGTGAGGATCCAAAATCGGGCTGTCCCAGTAAACCCAGCGCGAGCTGGCAGTTCCACCGCTCACGGGAATCGTGACACAGCTCGGTTCCTTAGATGCACGGCCGCGCCGCGCATGCCAGGCTCAATCAAGGGTCATTCTGGGCTGAATCTGCAAGTTCAATTCGGCAATTGGGCCTCAGGAAGGAAAACGGAGATGCAAATTCACTGCTTTAAGGGTCATGCTTTAACATTGGAGCAAATTTGGGCAAGCCAGGATGCAAACGGGTAAAGCCGGCCAGGTTTCTTGTTGGGCAAACCGGACCATCAAATGATCAGTGCATTTTGGGCAAGCCGGCAATTTGGAGTTATGATTTCTGACTTTGAGGGATGCAGGCCCTTCATCATGTTGAATTTTGTAACCATGGGACGATAGGAGGTGGCACAGTGCGCACAAAGTCCCTCACAGCATTGGCCTTCCTCTTAAAGCCGGCGAGCTTGTTTGTGACGTTGGTCACGCTACCACTAGCCTCCTGTCGCAGGGTTCAATGGTTACTTCAATGATCTTAACAAACCACACCCCAAGCCCCGTTTCAAATCTCAGAGCATCCAAGGATTCATGACAGGCAATTTCAACATGCCATCAAACGGCAACAAACGAGTCCTCATGGACCACCTTGGTGTCCTGCATGATGCTGCCGATGGACGCCGCCTGGGCCCAGGGCTGAAATTATCGGGAAAGGCTCAAAGCATGTTCAGTGTCCCAAGCCATTGGTCAAACGAAGATTCAATCTGAGGGGCTGGCACCATCCCCGATCTTGTCCAGCATGCACTGCAGCCACGGCTGTGTCTCTTCAGGAGGGAGAGGCCCTGGCATGACAGTTTTCAGAATCAGCCATGAACGTGAAGTCAATGCCTTTCCAACATGCCAATGGCAATCGCACAATTCGCAGGAACCTTTTTCGACGATGCATCGAGATGGCGTGACCGATTTCTCTTTCCAGGCTATCCCGGAAATTGCAGGACCCCCCCAACAGCGAGCAAATGCCATTTGTCAAACTTGAATGCCTTCGGGGTGGGCCTGGTTACACTTGTGAAAGCCATCCGCTTGGCCAGCACGCCCATTCAAAGCGCTGCTGGCAGAATTGGCAGCTACCCCTAACAGCCGTTGTGTTGCCAAGCAACTTCCCCAGTTCAACTCAAGTCCAGCCACAGTAATCGGAAGCTTGTGGTTTATGTGTCATCAGCATTTGTTTGAGGGCCTTGAACAAAGTGGATCACTTGTCAAAGTGGATCATCTAATCCTGACACTTGCGTTTCGCGGCCTTTTTGGTGTTTGGCGCAGCCTTTGGCTTGGGCGTCAGGAATTTCCTCCTTTTCACCAGTGGCTGGACCATGTTGTCAAGCCCCACGACTAAGTTGTCAAAATCATCAACCAGGGACTGGATGTCACCATCAGCCTGACACGGAAGCTTGCAATCACCCGCCCGAACCACTGCCTTGCCCCCATACACATTTTTCAGGTTAGTAGATTGAATTAGCCCGCTGAGGGCTGGATTGAAACTTGCAAAATTGATGAATTAAGCACGTTTTGGTCTTGGGTGATTTAAAATGGCTGTGTTTCACATCTAATAGGCCCAGGGGGTTTTGGGACATGGGTGACTGGTGATGCTCACATCGGCCTTCTTCTGCGCCAAGGCGGCAGCAAGATTGCT